ATTTTTAGTGAAGCATCCATTTTCTCTGTTTTGTTATCCCGTACTCATTGCTAGTCCTGCCTACACAACAAATCTGGTATTGATCACTTGTGGTAGACAAATATTTTTGGCTTAGGCTATGAAAAAGGCAAGAGGAAGATTGTAGAGAAAAGGAGCTCTTAATAACCAGAAAGAGCACGACACTGTAGCAGAATTCACATGGAGGAAGCAAACCTAGCAGAAATAAAAGAAGGGCAAAAAAGTGTTGTTAGTATGTAGAAATGAATGGACGCTTGTGAATATAAATCTACATAACTGACAAGTATCCCTCAGCTTCTACCAGTGCAAATTCAGATCATCAAATTCAAGTCCGTAATAAGGGAGGCTTCAGTTTTGGCTGGTATTCCTGGTGTGCCAAAGATGGCCCTGCCTACTGCCCAAGAAATCCCTTCTTACAAAACCATGGACCTAGATCAACACAGGAGGCAAGACTGATAGATTCTTTTGTGAGTCCAGAGGAGGCCACAAAGATGCTCTAAGGGCTGGAGCAGCTCTGCTCTGGAGACAGGCTGAGAGAGCTGGGCTTGTTCAGGCTGGAGAAGATTCTGGGGAGACCTTAGAGCAACTTCCAGCCCCTAAAGGGGCTGGCAAGAAAGCTGAAGAGGGGCTTTTGGCAAGGGCCAAAAGGGGACAAGGGGAATGGCTTTAAACTGACAGGAAGAAGATTTAGATGAGATCTTAGGCAGAAATTCTTCCCTGTGAGGGTGGTGAGGCCCTGGCACAGATTGCCCAGAGAAGCTGTGTCTGCCCCATCCCTGGCAGTATTCAAGGCCAGGTTGGACAGGACTCGGAGCAACCTGGTCTAGTGGAAGGTGTCCCTGCCCATGGCAGGGGTGTTGGAACTGGATGAGCTTTAAGGTCCCTTCCAATACAAACCATCCTGTGATTGTATGATTCTATGATCCTCGTAACAATTCCAGGCCCTGAACAGCTGTCAGACAAGGGATTAGTCCTTAGGTCTCATCCCTGTGTTAATTACTTTCCTGCCTGGATGAAATGAAAATAGGTAATAGGGATACTAATGTGACCCACATACTGCAGAAATACAGAAAGTACTGTTCTGACTGATGGTCCTGCTACTTTCAATGGGAAAAAGGGAGAAGACAAAAGGAAACATTCTCCTTGTCTATATTCATCCACCTTGTAACGATGCTAACACCTGAAATTATTTGAAGTGATTGGCTTCCAGGCACGGTTTAGCCCTGTGTGTTACACGCAAATTCTGTCACCCTGAACTGGTGACACTCAGCACCACATGGCTCCAGCTGCAGCTGTCCCCCAACAAAAGTCTTTCAGAAACTGTTATGAATAGTCTCAGCCTCTAATTTCTAGTCCTGCACCTCACACAGCTAACCTGACCTGCCCTGCTTTCCTTAAAGAAGGTCTGAAGGTGTATCCAGAGCTGAATTAGATGTAAGAGATGGAGCAGCATAAACTACTCCTCACCACAGTGCTTCTACTCCATCATCAGAATTTAATTATAGAATTATTTAGGTTGGAAAGGACCTTTAAGATCATTGTTATCTTCACAACTGTTATCTTCACAACTCACCTCATAACGTAGGTATTCACTGACACTGCCTGAGCTGAACAAGGTAAAACAAAACAGGATGACCAGCCCCCTTAGACTTGCATGCTTTACAGTGGTGAAGAGATGCTGAAAATTATAAAACCAGCTGGACATTTGGTGTAAAGTCCTATTCTACTCAGCTTCAGCCTGCTTTATGCAAACCCATACACACCACTAGGTCTCTTTTGCGAGCTGTGTTAAAAGTATAAGAGCCTTGGAGTGACTTGAGCTTACTGCTATACCCTTAAACCCTAGCCTGTGAGAAGCAAGGGGGCCTCTGCAAGAAAAAGAAAGCCTGAAACTTGATGACAGTAGTTTATGGGATTCAGGTCAGCAAGAAACAGACTCAACTCTAGGTGAAAAAGACATTAATGCTATAGATTCTGATATAGACTGAGGAACCCATAGCAGGATGGGAGGCGAAGATCAGGAAAGGCTGAGGGGCAAAAAAAAGGAGTGCAAACTGTTCATAAACTGCTTATCACTGTGCACATACATAGAATCACAGACTGGTTTGGGTTGGAAGGGACCTTTAAGCTTATCTAGTTCCAAACCCCTCCCATGGGCAGGGACACCTTCCACTAGACCAGGTTGCTCCAAGCCTCATCCAACCCGGCCTTGCCTACCACTTTTATCCCTCAGTCACAGTTTTGATCCATTCTAGCCGGGATGTGATCTCCAGCCACAGTGTGTGCATGGAGGGAAAATAATCCTCATTTGATCTGGAAATCTCATATTACTGACTCCAGCTGCTGCTCTGGGACTGCTGAAAGAAACAGCTCCTCCCAGCCAGGCCAGGTGTTTAAGTAGCTTGGACTGGAATTCACTGCCCTGAGCCACAGTTCAGCAGTTGCTAAACCTCTACATCAGCCAGTGCCCCAGACTATTTAACCAATAACTCCATCAGCATTTTTGGACCAGACAAACCATAGAAACAAAATATCAGAGATGCCTACAATCAGTCCAAATTCACATGCTGTCTACAGCTATGAATATCTCCATCCCTTCCGAAACAAAGGAGAGAGGGAAGATAAGCCCTGTAGCAAGACATTTATCTTAGCAATATGCTCTGAAAGAGTTTTCAGGAAAAGAGCAGAGTTTGGGTGGCAAATTAGCAACCCAGCACAGCTTCCATGGCTGCTGTTGGTAGCTAAGAGGAGCAGGAAAGGAAGATTATCAGGCTCCACCTAGAAGTCTGCCCCAGAGCCCCAGGCCAAATGCTGCTGCCTACCATCCACTCCTCTAGGTGTGGCCAAACCCGCCGGTATCGCTGTGCCCTTGCCAGCTCTGTACAGGGTTCATGGGCACTGGTGGAGCCTGTGGCAGGTACACCCGCCCTGACAAACCCTGACAAAAGCCTGTGAAAGCCTCCGCCAGAGACAAAATCCTGGGTAAAGTCCCTGCGCAGCTCTTGTCCCACCCAGGTGGTGGAGGTCAGCAGATACAAAGGCAAAGAAGGGGTACTGAGCCCATGGGGGGGGGCTACATGACCATGTCTGACCACAGACCAGATTTGACCAGGGTATAAAAGGAGCTCCACCGGAGAGCTGTTTGGAGTTGGTACTCCTTGGAGCAGTGGGCCTGCAGTCAGGGACTCCCCCCTTGGGTTGGGACAACTCCTTGAGGTTGAGAGCCCTCCCTTTATTAGATGAGTGACTGCACATTTTGGATCATTGGCCATAAACGGTAAGAATCAGCAGAGTAGTGACAAATCCATGTGACATCCCAAATCTGTAGTTGGTGGAGCTTTAACTGAGTTTGAACAATAAATTTTGTTTAGCCTCTATTGGTTCCGTGACATTTAACTTGGTGCAATCGGCAGGATGTCAGCAGAGGAACTGTTATGGAGGCATGGATGTGCCCCTTCTCCCCAGCTGTACACTGGATGACAGAGAAGTGGTTCGACCGGAGCGGTGGCAGAGCCTGAAACAGCGCTGTGTGTATGGTGGAGGTGGTAAAGAGAGCGTGTGCGCCACCTTGGGCATGTGCTTGGTGGCGGCACAGGACTACTATGATTGCTTTGGATGATTAAGAAGGGATGATTTGGAGAAGCAGTTGGAGATGGACTGTTTAAAAGAAGAATTGCAAAGAGAAAGAGAGAGAACATGTTTACTGCACAAAGAACTGAAATTATACTGCTACATTCAGAAGTTGATTGTGGGTACAGACCTGAACGATTGGGAAGGGGGTATCTGGGGAGACTGTGATGAGAGTAGTTCTGAAGATGCAGAGCTCTTATTAAACCACAAAAGCAGATGGGTCTGCAAGGCAGCAACCCCTGAACCATGGTCCATATGGCTCCCTGGATGGGACCTCAGCTCAGGGAATTGCACAATGCTTTTATGCAAGCTGGGTGACATGGAAATAGAGTATTTCTGGAGTGTTTCTCTGATGGGAGATCAAATGTTCTTAACTGATGATGAAGCGGCTGAGTTTTGGGGTCCAGAGTGTGTTTGAGCAATGGACTAGCAGGCAGGCCATCTATTGATAACCTCCCAAGTGGTTTATTGGACTGGGGTCATAGAGCTGGGGGAAAGAGGAAAGCCTGTCACTGTTCTAGTGGAAGGACTATCTGGAGGGCTCACAGATGTTAGATACACTAGACATTAGGAGTTCTTCCCTGTGAGGGTGGTGAGGCCCTGGCACAGGCTGCCCAGAGAAGCTGTGGCTGCCCCATCCCTGGCAGTGTTCAAGGTCAGGTTGGATGTGGCTTGGAGCAAGCTGATCCAGTGGAAGTTTCTCTTCTGAGCCGATTTGCTTCCAGCTCTGCGGCTGCAGCAGCCAGCCTGAGGGAAAGCTGGGTTGTTCTCTGAGGCGTAACTCCATACCCTCCACAGACGGCCACGATGGATGGGCCGGATGGTGTCAGATCGAGTGAAAGCCGCTCCCTATCTGTAGCTTCGCCTAGGCACAAAGCCCTTTACCGTTACCAGGTCCCCCGCAGCCGGCTATCCCTGGTGTTCCTCCAAAGCCCGGGGCTGCTGGAACAGAGAGCCAGGAGCTGGCGAGGCGGCCCGTGGGCCCTTCCCGCCGCAGAGAATCCCGGGAACCCCATCCCCACCACCTCTCTGGGCCGACTTCGATGGTGCTGCCCGGTGGGGCGGTGCCGGGGGCGGGTTTGGGCCAGGTCAGGGCGGGGCCAAGGGCTCGCTGTAGCGGCCGAAGCGATTCCGTCCCTTCCGTACGGCCCTGCAAGACTTTCGGGTCAAGGAGCGGGCGGGTGGGGGCGGACGGGGGCCGGCGGGCGTGCCGGGGTACCTCCGTGGCGCGGCGGCGGGCTGCGGGGGCCTTGCGGGCCGGGCGTGGGCGGTGGCTCGGGGCGGGGCGGGGCTGAGGGCGGTGCTTGTCTCCCCGTAGTGGCGGGGGTCAGCGGTTCTGTTCCCTCGTTGCCTTTCTGTTGGGAGCTGCTGCGCTACGGCAGCACGGAGGTGAGTAGCGGCAGGGAGGTGGCCCCGCCGCCCCGCCTTGTTCTCTTTGTTTTTTAAATGCCTGTGAAGGTCTATGCAATGAAATCCCTCTGGGCACGTGTTTGGAGAATGACGGGAACTGTTGTGGCTTTGGAATGCCTTTGGAAGCTGTGCTTTGTGGCTGTTAATAACACGCAGAGTTGGCTGTCTAGTTTGTCTGTGTGCCTGTTTAAGGACAGTGCAAATTGCTCTGCCTCTGCAGTAGCACAAAGTTTGTACCTCAGCAAGAGGAATCCTTTTGGGGGTTATTTGGTGTCCAGGGGGACCCGTGTGAATTATGATACCATTACATGAACTGCCTTGGAATAAAACTAAGTTATGGCTTTGCCTTCTCACCTCTGCTGCAGGGTTTGCATCCTTGCGCGACCAAAGACCAGACATCCATCACTCCCACAAACAACAGTTGTCATTTGGTGTTTCTCATTTATCCTACCTGCAAATTCCGGTAAGAATGGATCCTTAATAGGTTCTGGACTATCCTTTGCTATTACTGTCTCTGTAATAGCATAGTTTCACCCACCTATCAAGTTATGTCTTTCCCCAGAGATGTCTCCATCTTGAGGGATTTGTGATCACAGATTTAGGATTTGTGAACCTGGAACTTTTTCTTTGGTCCCTCAAAACCTGGAATCAATAATGAAAACTGTTGGTTTTTTTTGTTTGTTTGGTTGGTTGGTTGGTGTTTTCCTGGTGACCGATATATTATTCAGAGGTAGAAAAGTAATGAAACAGAATTGAAAAGGCACAGTTGGGGCATTCCTCTCCTTTTCTAGCTTTAGGTTTTTCTCAGGACTGTAATGTAACAACCCCTTGGCTCAGCAGGTGCTTGTGAAGGGGTTCAGCCTGTAGAGTCAGGAAAGATAAGGAATGCCATTAACCCTCCCTCCAATGTTGTCAGTCTTGCACGACAAAGAGAGGAAAGGAGGAATAGAAACAGACAGATGCTTTCTTTTCGCATGGGGAAGTTCCAAACTGCTCAAAGCTGTGGTATGCTGATGATGTTTTTGTAGTAAACTTCTTTGCCAGGAGTGACTTCTCTGTTTCAGTGGACAGGCAAAGCCATCTTCAAATTCAAGCACTGAATTAAATCAGCTTGTATCCTTATGCTCAAGTCTCAAAAAGTACATTGAGATGCTCAAGCTCCTTCTGGAGCATTGGGCTTTCAAGGTCCGGTCCCTAATGTTTCCTTTATTGCTTTGTTGAAGAAGGATATGCCAAGGATTCAGGTCCTGAGCTGGAGCATCTCTTTATAGTCATAAAGATGGTAAGATGAGTCTTGTGCTTTTGCAGGTGTTGTAGTACTTGTGACGATGTCAGAAAAGCCTACAGGTGGCAAGGTTTGGCCCCCAAGAACCCAGAGGGCAGAGAGCAGTGCAAGAGGGAAGGGTTCAGCCAGAAAATGCAAGACTAGAAGAATGAGGGCTGCCGAGTGTCTGGTTTCCTAGAGGTCAACAAGGTGAGAGATGGGGTTTGCTGTGAATATGCTGCATGATGGTGATGGCTGTGAAAAGGCACATTCGGGCATTCCTCTCCTTTTCCAGCTTTAGGTTTTTCACAAGACTCTAATGTAACAACCCCTGGGCTCAGCAGATACTTGTGCTTGTGAAGGGGTTCATCCTGGAAAGGAGAGTCAGGAAAAGCAGTGGGAAGGGGCTAATTCTGTTTGGCTGCGTGGGCTGCTGGGAAGCATGCTGGCTGGAGAAGCTGAGCTTTTGCTACTGTCTAGCTAGCAAGTCTTTTTGCTAAGGCTCCTGGAGGAGGAGAGGCAGCTTCTTTGAGGTTAGATTCTCCCACCTGCCCTACTAGTATTAAAACAGGCTACCAGTGGATGGTGGTTGCTGTAGGTAACAGTAGCAGTCATCTCCTGCTTTAGCTGTGGCAGTTGGCAGCAAGTTCCCAGGATGCAGGAGAGTCCTTAGTGGTAGATTCCTTAAGAGACAAAGAATTATCCTGTCACTTCCTTCTAAGGTATTTCTTCTGTCAAGGGAAAGCTGCGGCTTCTCATTCACCCTTTAGATTATCTTTGGACCATTTAGTTGCTGAGGAGCCGTCATCACTATTTTTAGGGAAAAGCTTGACCATCATGCTTTCTTGAAAGCTTTTCAGGATTCCTGAAGATGTATTATTAGATTCCTTCAGTTCCCTAGGAAAGAAACTGATGCCGATGACAACATTCAGGACATTCTCTGTCCTAAAGATATGGTCTCAAGGACCGTAATGATTTCTGTGAGTGAAGCAGTTCTGTATGTAGTCCAAGTTTTGTGGTTTTCTTACACCCTACATAGTCAACTGGAGGAACAAAGTTATCTTTGAAGATGCTATTTTTGTGATTACCATTTGTTTTCCTCGTCCTTTGTGGTGATGATTGTGGAAGGAAAAAACCTAAGGAAGCTGCTTTTTGAGATGAGTTTTTGGAAAAGGAGCTGCTGCTACTCAGAGCAGGCAAGCTTTGCTGAGAAATGTGTGCAGCTTTGCCAGCTCTCTAAGAGTACAAATTCACTGGTCAGTTGTACATCTTTATTAATGTTCTGGCTATCTACTTAAGGGATTGTTTATTCCCTTATTACAGAGATGTAACCTATTTGAAGGCGTCCTCGGACACAATGGATGACCCCCTAGCAGCCTCTCTTATTTTATGTACTTTTTAGTGTTTTGAACACTGAGTGTAAAAGGGACATATAGTTTGGCTAGGTAGGGAGCCAGCAATGTATGCTGTTGAGGGTAAATGTTGCTCTTCCTCTTCTCGCTCCCCTCGCCAACCGTTTCCTGCAAAACTGACACAATTTCTATTATTTGCTGTGCCCATAGATTTCCTCTAGGAGGAGCTGTTGATTTAGGCTGGGATTTGAGCCTGAAAAATGTCCTGAAAGCTAAAAGGAGAGCCATCGCAGGCCATTCATTCTGCTATGGTAGGCAGGGTCACCAGGTGGAAATTTTAGGTCCTTTGGCATCTTCTCACTGGCAACCAAGAGGAAGTAACACTAATTCTTTTTTTTTCTGCAGGTACTGCAGCCTCTTTTCTCTGTTCTTTTCCTGGAGCCCTCTTGGTTGTGGGGCTGCTACTGTTGCTCAGGCCTCCTACAGATAACACTTCCTCATCTGAGCTCTGCTGTCTATCAACATTCTTGAAAAAAAATAGTGTGGGACTCAGTCTTCATCAGTGAAGGACACCACTTCAGTGTGGAGGAGATGCAGATCTTCTGTACTCATTCCACAGAAGGTGTTTGTGTGAGCTCATTCTAAATTCTGTCCAAAGTAGTGTGTGCCTTTTTCATCCCCAAACTGGATTACTGAAGGCTGAGATTCTTTTTTCATCCTCAGCATTGTTAAAGACTTTTCTTTGTACCTGGTAAGCTCCTTTCAGCATTTGTTTGTCTTGGTGCTGAAAGATGAAAGGTCTCACCCATTTCTGTGCAGGTGGACAGACTGTTTTCAAGTTACATCAAGTTTGTTTTGGAGAACACAAATGTGAGATTTCCATTTGTCGCTGCACTATAATCTGTCAGAGCTCAAGTTGTACCAGTTGTTGGGAATGTCTAGCCCTTGTCAAGCAGCCGTCTTGGAGGCCCTCCATACCTTCTTCAAACCAAAAAGCATGCTGTTGTAGAAGCACCACCAAGAATGTAGCATGTAGCAAAGGGGGTTGAAATTGCTGTGTGAAGGATTTGGAGGCTTATCTCCAAATGAGGGGGTATAAGTCTGTGAGAGTTATTTGGTTAGTTATGCAGTGTTGAATATATGTGAAGAGCCTTCCAAAACAACAAAACAGGAGTTCACTTCTTTGAGATGTGCTGTCCAAACATGTCCAGCACTTTTGGATAACTTTGGTGGCTCCTAAAATGACCTTTCTGTAACCTTATGACTGAAAAATAATCTAAAGATAACCAGCATTGTGATATGGCAGGCTCCTTTAGAGGAATATATTTCCTTATGGTGATTAATTTCTGCATTTTTATTTCTCTGTTAGCCTCTAAATGATTTCTTGTTCATAGATCAGTTCTTTTGCTAGCTAGGGAGTCAGCAGTGTATGCTGTTGAGGGTAAGTGTTGCTGTGTCTTTCTCCCCCAACCCCAATTTTTTCCTAGAGAGCTAACACAATTTCTGTTGTTTGCTATGCCCATAAATTTCCTCTGGGAGGAGCTGTTGATTTAGGCTGGGATTTGAGCCAAAAAATTTCCTGAAAGCTAAAAGAAGAGCCATCGCAGGTCATTCATTCATTATTCTATGGTGGGCAAGATCACCAGATGCAAAAGGCTGAGAATCTTTGTCTTAATCGATTTTAATATATCAGTGTATTTAATATGTTCATAATTATGGAGTGTGTTGGTAGTTGCAAGAGATACTGGAGGAATCACAGCTTCAGAGGGATCTGCTGAAATAAAAGAATCATGAGCATACAAAGGCACTGGGAAAGGTACGGTCATCTTATCCCAAGGCAGTACTTGTGGGAGAGGGAGTTGTGATAGAAAGACCATCACAGATGCTGTTTCTGGCAATAGAAGAGAGGGACAATATCATTCTTCTCCTTGGAGCCACACAGGCTCTTTGGTGTAGCTCGTCCCCATGTGCTGACTGGGAGCACTGAACTGGCTGCTGGACTCAGTGAAGCTGTATCTGTGGGATTCTGGAGTGTTTTTATCAAGGAGACACTTTCAGTTTGTTCAAGCCTAGAGAGCAGGACAAAGCTGCACATTTATGTCTACTGTCTTGTACTGCTAAGAGTGGGAGTGACATCTTGAAATTGTTCAAATATTATTTTAAGATATACACGTGGCTTTGAATTGCTTATGGTAAGGTTGTATGGAGCAGTTGAGGGCACTTACTGCACATAAATTTTTATTGGCATTCGTACAACCGTATGTCATAGTCTGCTTTGAAGAATTAAACTTATGTAGGTACAGAGGTGAGCAAAAGCCCTAGGAAACTCACCACAAAGTCACTTACATTTTAAAATGAATCTACTTCAGCAAATTCTTGTAGCTTTTCCAGAACTGCTTCTCCCAACGCAAAAGTGACTTCAATTTACCTTCGTGAAGGTTCATAGAAGGAAAATCAAACTTCCATGCATGGTAATTTATAGAAAGTGAACTTGGATTTCACAAGGGTGGATATTTTCCCTTAAAAATCCTTTATAATAAAAACTATATTAATTCTGGCAAATAACAGAATTGATATGACTGGATTAATTGCCAGTACAGCACAAGGAACAGTGATAAATGATTGCAATGAACTCTTTTTAGCTTAAAAAACAAACAAACCCAGTAGACTACAGATGTACTAATGTATTGCATGGATGGAGTTAATAGGCAAAAGAGGTAGCTGCTTGATAAATAATTCAGAATACAATGGCTTTCAGAAAAATACAGCTTTAAGAAAATGGAAAATGAAATATGGAAAGAAAGGGAAATATGGCTTTAAGAAAAATATCATTATGAATAGAACATGTGAAAAAAACTATTAATCATTTTAGTCAATATAGTCAAAAAGTCTGTTCTCTATGCGTTTCTGCCAAAGGATTTAGTGTAGAGTGCCTCATACATGTATATGTGTGTAATTGTACTTTTGGATAAACATCATATACTTAGTGAAAAATACAGAGATTTATGGAATCCGTAGAAAGTGATCCATATGAATCTACAAGGTCCTGTCTGAGAAATAAAAGGACTACCAGAATTTAAGTTTTATGATGGTCCCAGTCTGATTTATTCCTCTGACTGAGTGGCCTACACAATGAAGGGTTCCCAGTGTGGTTATCTATTTAGAAACAATTTTGACAGTGTAAACAGTGCCATTTTTATTAGTTCTTAGTTGCTGCAGAGTGTAATCCAAAGTTAAGTAAGTACAAAATGCATATTTTTTTTTAATCTGTGGTTGCTTTAATGCTTAATTCCAATACTTTGATGAGATTATATTGGTTTACTATGCACAGAATTCTGAAGTTCACAGAGCCGGATAGAAAAAGGTCAACCATTTACTACAAAGCGAGTATATTGAGCCAAGTATCTCTGAAAAACAACAAAATATTTATTCATGCTTACTATCTACGTAAAAGAGAATAATTGCTTACCACAAAGGAAAAACAATTCTGTCCCTCTTGAAATCAATAGGAATTCTTTCAATTTCAGTGCTCTTTAATCACCAAGGGGTGGCAGGAAAGAGACGTGCAGAAGAGGTGGCTTGAAAGTCACAAAAGGAATAGGGACAACTACGAGTCACTGACAACTCGTGTTGTCTGACAGAACGATGCTGCTAGACCTGTATCTCCATGTGTGCAGTAGATGATCCCAGAGAGAATTTTCCCATCAAAGTCATGAAGGACAGAATTTCACGGTTTATTTCTACTGGCTATCAGCAGAAAATAATTTCTACCTGACAGTTTCACTAGTTTAATCTCTACTTGAACTAGTTTAAGAGTTTACTTTTTTTAGTAAAAAAGCAAATGAAAGAAACGGTGAGAGTAAGGTGAGTTCATATTCTCTTTACAGTACAGAATAACTTTTTAGGCTTTTAGTGGAGGAAAAAAGTCATTTGCAATTACAGCTTAGATAAAAGAATATGTACCTTGCATCAGGGTAAGATTTAGCTAGAAAAGTAAGAAGTTAATATCTGCTTCAATGTTATCTGAATGGTAATGACAGATAAGTGCCTTGCTTGTGAAATTTCGTATTTTGAATGCAGAAAATATTTGCTCAATGCAAAGTGGTACCTGGGAAGACAGATGAATTGTTACAAGCAAAGAGGGGTGTGAAATAAAGCCAAAATCATTGGATTTGGAAAGATTTGGAACTAGATATGTGCTTGATTTTGTAGTTTATTGTGAGGAAAGCTTATTTCCCCACATGGGAAACTAATTTTGTGAAGTAGAATGACAGCCTCAGCCCCTGCTGCAGACTAGACCTGGGCTTGCAGGTGTGGGAAAAGCTGCCAGCTTCAAATCCTATAAAAAGGCTTGATCACATGCTGTGACAGTCAGCAAAAGCCATTTGGGAAGGAAAAATGCTGTTCAACCCATATGCAGCTTATGTTGCTCCCATATAGAGCTATGGGTGTTCTAGAAAATAATGTTAATTATTAATATCAGAAAAGTTAATATATCTTGAAATATTTTATTCAGATAGGATATGGGTTTGGGTCACATTGAATAGTATTTCAGTATTAGCTGATGCTGCTTGTGTACAATGCATACATATCTGCTTAAATACACTTTGGGGATGTGGGACAAGGCAGGCAGGTTTTTTTAAACAAAAGGAGAGCTTTACAGCTCTTAGTTTTATTCCACCTGGTGCTGGATTTGAAGAAGCTATTTGTTAGCGATGACATTACAAACTGTCTCTTTTGATTTAATGAGACAGGCCTAGATTATTAATTTATTAAAAAAGTATTTGTTGAGGCTCATGCTTGTCTCTGCCATTAATTTATTAAACCAAAGTTAATTGTTTATCACTGAGAAAACCGGTGATGCACAAATGAGAATGGCAGGCACTGTATCATCTGCGTGCTTGATAAAATCATCACAGCAAAACCACTTTTACAACCTACAGCTCTTTTAAAAGTGATGACATCAATAAGAAAATGGCTCTTACTTGTAGGGAGTTGATTACTCCTGATGTAGAGGTTAAGTCCCGAAGTAGGTCTTGGGAGCAATGGGGATGGGGAGGCTTTAACAGCAGCACAGCCTGGCACATTGGAAATAAAGCCGTCTGCAGGATGGTGATATATGGAACACCTTACAGACAGGTTGGTTTGGTTTTTCAAGTTCTTATACACACCCCGTTTGATTACAGTGATAATATATAGTATAACACAGCCCAGGGATGGGGGAGAAACATTCTTAAGTGTGAAGGGTTTACCTGTATTCCATATTGTTTTTTCCTCTTTCTCTAAAAAAAAAAAAAGTTGATTTACATAAGTGTGACTCTTGGACCATGTTGAGCAAACCTGGCATATTTAAGCACCTGAATTAAGGAGACTTTTACCCTTTCTTTCCCTCCAGTGTGTTGACCACACCACACAGCTTGGTGTCATCAGCAAACTTGCTGAGGGTGCACTCCATCCCACTGTCCATGTTGCTGACAAAGATGTTGAACAGCACTTGTTTCAACACCGACCCCTGAGGAACACCACTCAATACTGGTCTCCACCTGGACACTGAGCCACTGATCGTAACTCATTGAGTGTGACCATCCAG